GTTTACTTTAGTTTAACTGAGTTTGGTTCAGTTTGAACCCTTTGAGAAGTGAGTTTTAACCAGCGTAACTCAACCACCACGCACATTTGATAGATTGATGTTAGAAATGACACAGGACAGTCGTTATAAGAGCTTCCTATATTGTGAAGGGTCCCTTTGATCAGGAATATAGTAAAGCATGATCTGGCCAACAAATCTGGCTGGAATCGTTAGGTTTGTTCTTGCAATACGCACAGTTTGGACGAACATTTACCAAACACATCGATGTTCAACCGATTGAAATCTGGAACGATTGGTGCGGTAAAACTGTAGAAAGACAAGGTCAAGATGATACACATGACCAGTGAATTCGGGTCAGTTTATATGAATACTTCTGTCTTACATTGAGTGTGTATATGTTTTCAATATTTTGACAACCACTTTCAAATTTCTGTAGACTTAACCTCCGGTTGTTCTGTTTAGAGTGGTATATATCCCGCTTTTTGAGAAAAAGACCAGCCTGTTTTACAAAACGTGTTCGTTTACACCCGCAAGTATTTTGACTAAAATGCCACGGATTACTTGCTGTTGTGCAGTGGGGCTCACAAGGGTCCGACAACCTGGGCTGTCGGTGAAAAGAAAGAAGTTATTCAATGTGGAGTTATTTATTCGGAAATGACAATTTTCCGGTTACGGACCATTGAACAAGGAAGCAAAACTCGATCTGCATCTTAGTTACAACACCTGGACACAGATCTTCGCTCGAACGAGTCTTCCTAATGATTCATTGCCTCCACTCATTCGTCGGTGAAACAAAATCAAATGTTACAAAGTGGCCCTGCGAATTCCGCAACATAATTTCATTTTTCAATCGACGCAAAGCGAAATTCTACAAACAACACATACTACTCGCGTGCCTCCAAGTCAGTAGCATCACCGTTACAACTCTACCCCGTAAACCTCGTTCGCATGCCATCGATCTTCATTTACCTCCGTCATGTCGGCTTCGGCAGAGGATCTACTAGGCCGCTCTTCTTGTGTATCACGCCGTTTGGGAAGCTGATTCCTATTCACCACTTTCGATCCCGACCATCTTGAATTGCATAGAAGATCCCCCGGCGGTCGGTGACGACAAACGGCCCTTGCCATTGACTGCCAAGCTTCCGCGACCCCACTCCACTATTTTCAGGATTCTGTGATCCTAGCACTTGACCATGTTGCCCATGGGGAACGTTCGGATCTTTCTGCTTACCGTGTTCTGCCTAGTCCTTTCCTGAACGGCGGTCAAATTTTCTCGAACTCTCTTTCTTTCTTCCTCTAGCTCCTTCGGAGACAAGCGCATTTCCGGCCAAAACCCAATTTCATGATCAGCCGGAAGGCACGAATGTCGACCGTACATTAACCTAAACCGGGACTTGCCTGTGGTTGACCGCGTGGAAGCACGATGAGCTAACAACATCATCGGCAATTTCAATTCCCAGTCACCTCCTTTGGCCGCAAGCCACTCCTTGGTCTTTCAGTTGTTACGCTCGGTCAGGCCATTTGTTTGCGTGAGGTATGGTGCCTTACTTAGCCGTCTGATACCTAGCTTTTGCGAGCAATTACGAAACTCTTCGCTCTCGAAGTAAGGTCAGCCATCACCACGATGTATTGGTACCCAGTGGTTGTCACCGGTAAGAGGCCCATGACAGCAACTGACCACAACTCGCCGAATTGTGAGACAGGAATGGGTTCCATGGGATGGGTCTCCCCTGTCGTAACCACTGGAATTGCACCAACTTTCCGGGATCCAGTTCGACGACGAGGCCATTGGGTCCAATCATGATCTTGAGGACCTCATTTTCGGCCTCTAGCCATGACAGCCAATCAGCCAAGTGGTTCTCCTTCCCGGGCAGGTGCTGGATTGTACTCCTGCAACCGCAGTGCCCATCTTGCGAACTTCCCACAAAAATCTCTGGTGATCCTGATCCAGTCCAGGGGTTTGTGATCGGTTTCGACATGAAAGCTTTGCCCAAGCAGATATGGTATCCACTTACCCAGGGCCCAGACAACCGCTTAACATTCCTTCAAATTGGTGGAGTGCTTATGTTCAGCGTTGGCCAGGACGCGACTGGCATATTAAGTAACTCCATTCCTCTGCCTAAGGACTGCGCCGATACCGCGATCACTGGCGTCCGTTGCAACAATGAACCTTCCTCCGACCCTGGGATTTTGAGGGTCAGTGGCTGTTCCGACATCCGCGCTTTGACACGCTCCAAAGCTTCACTGCTTCTCCGGTCCATTCGAATTTACGATTTTGGCCGAGCAAATTGTACAGTGGCGCAGCGATCGTGTTGAAATCTTTAAAGAACCGGCTGTAGTATGCTGCTCGTACATGCAACTGCCGTAGGGGCATCTTTGAATTCGGAACAGCACAAAAACTGATCTTTGCCAAGTTTTCGGGCGGTGGGCTAACTTGGCATTGACCCAATTTATGCCCCAGCAGTGTCACCGAAGTCCGAGCGAGCTGTAACTTGGCTTGATTTATCCGCAGGCCAGCTTCCCGAATCCGCTCCAACACAGCTTTCAAGTGAACTACGTGGTCCGGTTCCGAATTACTGTACACAACCATATCGTCCCCGTACACGGCAAAATTATGGAGTCCCTTGGTTACACGAAGCATCAAGCACCGGAATGTGAATGGTGCCCCGGACAAACCAAACGGCATTCGTCTAAATTGATATTGGGTGTCCCCAAAAATAAATGCCGTTTTCTCCCGGTCCTCTTCCTTGATAGGTAGTTGCCAATATCCGGAACGAAAGTTGAGCAGAGTAAAGTAACGGGAATGCTGTAGGGAAGCAAAAATCCCTGCAATCGAAGGCACAGCCACAACCTGATTTACGGTCAGCTCATTCAAGCGCTGGAAATCCACGCAGAATCTGTATTTTCCGTTCGTCTTACTTGAAAGCGCAACTGGGGAATTGTACGCACTGTTGGCTTCTCCGATTATGCCGGACTTCAAAATCTCCTGAATCTGTCTGAGGACTTCCTCCCGTAGATGGAGCGGCAACGGACGGTGGTCATAAGGTCGAAAGCCTTCAGATGACAGAGGAATTTCGTGTTCAATCCACGGACAGTATCCAAACAGACCCTCATCGCCCGTAAACAGTTCGGAATATTCCTCAAACACGGCCGACACACGGACGACGCATTTCAAGACGGAAGTTTTCGGACACAGAGCTCCCTCACGAAAGTGCCCGGGTAACCCTCAAGCTTGATTGCGCCATACTTTGTCACAAGCCTTCCCTGGTTTAGGTATGTCACGACATTTGTGGCCTTGAGAAAATCAGCTCCCAATATTGTATGCTCTACGTCTGGGCTGATCAGGAACGCGTGCTGCACGGACTTGTCGCCTAGGCGTATGGAGTGCGTTGACAGTCCGTCAATCTTCAATCGATATCCGCCAACAACACTCACGGCTAGCGCGCATGGTCTTTGTTCAGCTTGGTTCCCTCTTTGTCTCAGCGATACGCCTGCTCAGGTATCAATCAAACATAATTGCTTTTTCCCGTCTACCTCGACAAGGGATTGTACGGTAGCTCTTGTCCTTGCGCTAATCGCGACCCACCCCGGAAATGTGGTGTACCCTAAAGTTTCATTGTTCACAAGCAACCGGTTACGGGGACACTGATTCTTCCAGTGGCCAGTCTTGAACACATTTAGCACCGGCTGGTTCGAGCGTGCCTCCGCGATTCCGTCTTTACGGCTGCCAGCTGTTCGGTGGGTTGGTCCACCCTGGTCTGCAGTTCCTCCGCTGATGAACCATCCCTGTTCTCCGGCGACTGCAACTTGGCCAGTGGTCCCTCGGGCAGCTCCCGCGCCAGACACACCAGCTCCTCCACACTCAACTGGCCAGTTGCACGTGCCAACCGCAACTGGGTACCAAGTGCGGGCTGCACACATTCCACGAACTGATCCGACAGCAACTGGTGTCGCGACAATCCGTCCAGCGTCGGCAAAGCGCGATCCAACAACAGCTGCATGCCGGTGAAGAACATGGTTGGGTCAGATCCGGGTGCCATCCTGGCCGTCTTGAACCGCCTCGTAGCCTCCTGGCGGTCGGCCGGCGTGTCGAACTCCGCTTCAAGGACTTTCTTTGCGGCGGTCCAGTCCGTCATCTGAGGGCCTCTTATGGCCGCATCCAGTACCTCCTTCGCGCGGCCCCCCAGGAGAGCCTTCAGCGCTGCCAACTTACTCTGGTCGGTCACCAGCCCTGCAGCCTCCGCAACCTCCCCAAAGTCTTCCAGGAAGGTCCGAACATCCCTATCCGCAAACGGTTGCGGCCATGGGATCTTCATCCTTATCCTGGTCACGGCAAAAATGAAAGGAAGAAGGCCTTCGCTGCGGAGTAATTTATTCGCAAGTGCCAACTGACCGGTTACAGACCATTGAACAAGGAAGCAAATCTCAATCTGCATCTTAGTTACAAAACCTGGGCACAGATCTTCTCCCGAAGGGGTCTTCCTGGAAATTCATTCTCCCAGTCATTCGCCGGTCAAATGAAAGCAAAACTTGCCCCCCGAATTCCGCAACGGAATTCCATTTATCAATCGACGCAAAGCAAAATTCTACGAACAACGTATACTACTCGCGTGCCTCACGTTGGCCCGGTACTGTACTCTTTTATACTGTTTCCACAGAACATAAATTCTGCAAGTAATTTCCTATTTAGAATTTGTCATGGACAAACACGAAAACACCCTTCCTCAGAGTCACATCTGTCCGAAAAGCATACCATGCCTTTGTTGGTTCCAAGAATCCTCCAATATTTTGTAACTCACCAAACAAAACCAGTCCAATGAAAGCACGGGCCTTCTACTGATTCGTGCGATTTCATACGATTTTATCTAATGGCGGAATTGTGTTAACCAAAAAGAACCCAGACACTTCCCCGCACGAGTGACTAACTTATATAATTTCGGTGCATAATAAACTAAACATGTTGCTTGACCGATTTCAAAACTCCTAAAACAGTCTCGATCGGTTTCTGTTCCTCCACATTCACTATCGACGACTGTTGCAACCAGAATTCTATCTTATGATGGACGTTCGTCACCATTTCAAATACCTCACTATTGGCCCAGCAAAATTAGCTACATAAACTGGACTGCTCATATGTTTGCTGAAAATTTTTAGAGAGCTGATGACCTTTTTCTCCTTTCTTGGGGCTCAACAGATGGGCGCAATTCCTGAAAACCCATCAGCCTTGTGTTCCAGATGATCATTCAGTAAAAGCGAACCATCATTGTCGGATCACTTGTGCCCCCTGTCAAACCAAATGCGTTTAAAAGTGGGAGCGCTTGTCAAAATATTTTTGGTTCAATTAGAACATGAGGTTGACGGAAACTCTGGGAGTGCGACTACCTGATGAGCCTCAAGTTGGGCGAAACCGGTCATAGTTCACCAGGTATTTTGTTTCGTAGATTTCAGTTTCACTCATCCGATACGTGGCTGAAAACTTCCGCGTACTCTTCGTTAGCATCCTGCAAGTTTATATCAATCGCTTCGAAATTTCCAGAATACCGATATACCGATGCTCATCAAGCCCTCTCTCTCTCGGACTCGATGTCCACTTGACATTCAGTGAGCTTCATTAACAAACTTCCCCACTGTTTAGCATAATTGCCAGTTTTCACGAGAATGATGAAACCTGTTGGTGGACGTTAGGAGAAATATTGTGTTAACTCAACTTCCTGTTCGTTTGAAAGCATTCTCAGACATTAGTACAAACCCATACCCAAAATGAAGGATCCTAAGACTTTCTCATGCGTGGCGAAGCACTCACTTCCATGACTAGACTGACTTTCCAGCTGATATCTTGTTACCTATCAGCCTTCGGGTCCCCGAGGTAGCCCAGCATACAACTCATCTAATGGAGCTGTGCAAAGCCGGATACGAGGCTGAAACCCTCATCGAATATGTCCCCAACTTCTGTTACTAACACAGACGCAACTTGTTGCCTGATTTTGCCAAAATTTAATGAATTGTAGCTATTCCGTATCGTATTTTGCCATCGTCGCGAAACATGGTTTGTGTTTTTTCATCAAGCTAGCCGTCCAAAGATCGTTCGGTAAAAACCAAAAGCATTTAGGTAAGGCCGTCTGGATTCT